GGTCTTGCCAAGTTGCCCAGGTGGGTCTCGAACCCACGGGCTCAGACAATCCACTCACCTCAGCCTCCCAAAGTGTTGGGATTACAGGCTGAGCCCGGCTGGGATGATGACTTCTAAATTCTTAGGTCCACTACTATTTTGGGAAACATAATTCTAAAATAATTGCACCAATCGTTAAAACAGCTGTGCTAGTTGATATCCTACACTTAAAATGCATTAGTACAATTTCATTTAAAATGTTTAGGCATAATTGAAAATAATGTTACCTCGTTCTTTAATTAAGCAAAAAGTTGAATTTCTTTTTGTCTGACTTGTTGCAGCTATGGTAATTTATAAGCAATCTTGGGCAAAGTATAATTTATTTGTGCTTTGGTTTCTCAAAGGTAAAATAAAAATAACTATGTTTATTGTGTTTTCTGAGAAATAACAAATACAATATTATGTGTAAAATTTCTTATAAATATTTAACAGTGAAAAGAAAAGCTGTTTATTGCTTTCTGTTATCATTCCAATGCCTGGAGTTCTATCCGTTCTGAGTTCAAAAAATATTCATAATTGAATCTCTCATTTGCTTATTGAATGAAAATGTATCAAGTACTATTATGTGCTTAGCACAGAAGACATAACGATCCACAAAAGTGATGGGCAGGGACCCAGCCCTCATGAGTGTATAGTTTGTAGGGAGGACAGACAGCACATAACAGTGATGACCAATATTAATTTTTTTTTTAATCTGAGTCTCACTGTTGCCTAGGCTGGAGGCTCACAGCCATCGCAGCCTCGACCTGCTGGGCTCAGGCCATCCTTCCTCCTCAGCCTTCCAGGTAGCTGGAACTACAGGTGCACCCCACCAAGTCCGGCTAATTTAACAAATGCTATTTTACTTGTATTCAAAATATATGTATTTACATGTATAATCAAAACAAGTTCAAACTGTTCAGTTACACGCAAGAAGAGCAGGAAAGCAATCTACGTATGACAGCCTGCAGTAAAAGTTTTGAAGTCAGAATGAGTATCAGATCTGAAAGAGTCAGGCTGGGCTCGATGACTCAGCCTGTAATCCTAGCACTTTGGGAGAGCGAGGCGAATGGATTGCCTGAGACCATGGGTTCGAGATCCACCCGGGGAACTTGGAGAGACCTCGCATCTACAATAAATCAAAAATTAGCCGGGCGTGGAAGCGCGTGCCTGTAGTTCCAGCTACTTGGAAGGCTGAGGCGGAAGGATCGCCAGAGCCCAGCAGGTCGAAGCTGCGGTGACCGGGAGCGGCGACTGCACTCAGTCTGGGTGACAGAGTGAGACTCCAACTCAAAAAAAAGGAGGCGTCCATGGGAACTCGCTGAATAGGGGAAGGAAAGGCTCGCTCCTGAGATGGCCCAGCAGGGTCAGGGACTGAAGGAGGAGCAGCGTGGCGGGAGGTCAGAGAGGGAGGGGGTGGATGAGCCGAGTGTGGGCTGGTAGGTCTTTGGCTCTTCAGGTCAAGGCCGTGGGAAGCTATTGGAAAATTCAAGGGGTGGACAGATTGAAACCTCTCAACTGCAATGAAAAAGAGGAGGACCGGGATCAGAGTCGACACAGGGGGATA